GGAGAGAATAACCTTTTGTTTTTAAATTAACGGGTGGGGGCATTGTTTCTCCAAAATTTTCAATGTTTAAAATTTAAAAGGCTTTATCAAATTTTATCAGGAATAATGAAAAAAATTGTTAAAATTTACTCAGTTTTATAATATAAATATATAATTTGTTACATCTCCGACTATAGACAAAATAGAATTATAATACACTGATAATATGAAGAAACGAATATTAAGAGAAAAATTTAAGAGATTATTTTATCATAACTCATAACTTTTGACTTTAATTAATTTTGTGGCTTAAATATTTTAGCTTGTGAGGCATTAATTTTTCTATAAATACATATGTACATATGTTTCAGTGTAATTTGTAGGCAAGTTTTAGTTGCACAGATTCTTGTTATTCAGTCCAATGAGAAATACTCTTCAAAATTAAGAAAATTTATTCCATTCTCTTATGTTTATGAGACTTGTAGGTGTTTACACAATTCTAAAGTTTGATTTACCTTCTACACTTTACATTTAAAATTGCTCTATACATACATTTTTATATATAAAATGATTATTGAAACTTTAAACATATAAAGCGACTTCTATTTAATATATAAATTTTTATATAAAGAAAATGACAAAATAATCTAGTTCCTTTACCCTCCCAATAACTAAGCATAATTAAGTGAAATTTTGGTTAATTATTGACTTTACTCAAAAGTTAGTTTACATCACACCACATAATAATTCATATAACAAAATAATTTCAGTAAAAACAATAATTGAATTTCTTAATTGTTACTCAAACTTTAGTCCTATGTAAGTTTTGGATCAAAGTTGGTACATTTTATAATCATTATTCCTTAGAGTTCTGTCTCTGGTGTCAGGTACTAGTGTGTTACGACACCATTGGTTTCAGTCTCACATGGCTAAGTAACTGATGCTTAATTGCATGTCCACATGACTTGTTTTGTCCATTTACACGACTTTTAGCTGTTGTACCAATCTATAATTCTTGTATTGGTTTATAGTGGAATCAGCACTATCGTGTTGGATCACTCCAGGGTTTCAATTTTATTAGTAACCAAATGCGATTAACAAACTTGTGTTCTGCTCTCAAATCTCGTGCATGCAAAACATATTTACTTAAGTGTCATTTAAGTATCAAGTTTTGATTTTTTACTTGTGTGTTTGAAAAATAGTATTTCTTTAAAAGAGATCAAAGTTTATTTCAACTATCTTATGTAATTAACATTTTAAGTATATAATAATAGATTCATTTATTCTATATCTTAATTATAAGATTAGTATCGTAAGCCTTATTATTATTTCTCTTTTTTTTCTTTCTTTAATCTAAACAAAGTGTTGATGTACAGCGCCTGGGAAAAATATACATGACAATTCTTTTTGGTAGGGGTGTTGAGATTGTGCATGGAAAATTAATTAAAAATAATTTAATTAATTAATTACAAAGACCAAATGCTTGGACCCAATTAGTCACGTGCGATTGAGCTTGACGGCAATATCACTTCTAACTGTACGTATTTATTATAAAGTGTTAAGAGTTGAATGAGAACCGACTAAATTAACTTTTAGAATGCTGTTAGCAGAAAAAGAGAAAAAGACTTTTAAAATGCAAAAATAAATAAATTACATTTTCATGTGAAGTATATGTATTATAGCAATAAAGAAAAGTTCAACAAAACTTAAAATATTATTTCAATAAAATAAAATAAAATATATATAACTACTTTTAAGTAAACACTCACTTTGATTCTTGAAAAAACTAATCAACCCAGATTATTCTCTAAAAAGAATAAAAAACCATTAAATATTTCCTTAAATATCATGATAATAACCTAAATTAATATCTGAAAATATTATTTAACATGAATGAAAGATTAAATATTTCACGCTTGATATTAGCCAAAATAGAACATGGAACTCACTCATCAAAGATAGCAAGGGAAATACTTGTAAAAAAAGGAAAACTATTGACAATGAATTTACATACCAAACATATATATACAGTTAAAGTTTCATTAGAAGAATCAAAAGTAACCTAACCGTCTCCATCTCTCCCATCATGGTCTTCAAGAAGAAGTATCACTGTTGCTTGGTAAGAGGGTATGTGGGATTGTGATTTTACATTTTTTTTTTCTTTCAAGAATTTGTCTAACATACCTTAAAAGGAGCAACCTATTGAAACTTTCTTGCGTCATTATAATGTCTCTTAATACGTCTAAATTCTTGACTTTGTGCTTATTAGATTTTATTATAACGAATGAAAATATCTTGTGTTATACGATGAAGATATTTGCCATCATCACGAGCCAAATTGCAAGCAGCTTCAGACATTACAATAAAATGAGAAGAAGACAGAGACCAGCCGCTAGGTCGTGATTCATGCAGGGAAGAAAGAATTTAAATTCAGATTGTACTTTAAATCTGTATTATTTAAAGTCATGATGAAGTCAACAATAAAAAAAATTTATAACAACTATAATAATGCTTTTAAATTTGTTAAATACAACTTTATAATTTTATGTAGCAAAGTGAATCTAATACGAATTCTTAGTTCTTTTAATCATTGTACTAAATATTAGATTTTGGTATAATTAAGATATCTAGAGTTACTAAGATTTTATTATAATTTAAATATAGATTTTGTTAATTTCAGTCCTTAAGGACTAAGTTTAAACATTCATAAATAAATAAAAATTTATAAAAAATATATATAGTTATTATATTAAAGTTATAAAAATATAATAAATATTTTTTTAATAAAATTTTACTATTATTAGTTATTTATCCTTCATTCTAAAGCTTAAGATTAACAAAATTCTTTAAATATATATTTCACTAACTAATGAGTGAAAAACTATCATGACCTTATAAACAAGTTTGAGTTTAGTGAGTGAGAAACTTATAAATATCATGAAGTTTGAGCTTGTAAGAAAGTAAATATAAAAACGGATAACCTTATTTCTTTCAAGTTAGTCTCATATTTAAAAGCTCTCATTAAAATGTAATAAAATTATAACTTTCAAGTCACTAAAGAGCGTTATTTTTTTTGTTAAAATACAGATCGAGACAAGCAATGCAAACAAATTTGCTACATATCATGTGACATTTCAATGTTAATTTAAACATAAAAAGTAATGATTAAACAATTAATGTTTTTACTCCTTTTATTCTCTTTTATTTTTATTCTTTATGAATAACTAATGCGTAATTTTTAGAAAACAATATTAATGTAAAAGATGAGAGATTCTTGACATGATGTCGTGAATGTGGCAATTGTGATGGTTGCCAAATTATTTGTGGTCTTGAGAATTTCAATTTTCAATTTAGAAACTAAAAGTTCCACAAAAAATTTGGAAAGTCCGTAGCAGTTTCGATCCTCACAATCTCGAGTTGATTTGACTAAACAAAAATTCTCGAGTTTGATTGATTTTTCCGTTAAAAACTTTTAGAATATATTTGTGTACAATAAAAAAATTAAATTCTTATAATTTATCTTAAAATTGTGTTCAACATTAATTTCATTTTTTTAAAACTCTATTTCACTATATTGCAAAAAAAAAAAAAAAAGTAGAAACAAACAAGTTGCGAATATAGGAACATTTTCATCAACTTTACTCAAATCTTTAGCCAAAGTGCATAAGTTTGGTTATATAACATCGAATTGATGAAATCATTGTTACCCTTCCACATTATTTTCCATGTTATCAATTGCTCTAAAATGGATTTAGATTTTGTAGATATATATAAAGTAGTATTCAACAAAAGCATCAGAAACCTATTTCGTGGAAGTTTCCTGTTGCTAGAATAATCAAACTCATGTAATGTTGATGGATATGTTAAACACGCCACAGTAAAGGCTGCATCTGCATAAGGTTGATTCATAGCTAAGAGAGGATTCTAGTCAAAGCATTCATCTTTGTTATGACCTAATAATGAGTTCTATGGATCTTACTCCAAAGAGAATTTATAATCATCTTGCCAATTTGGTACACTAGGAACTATAGCATCATCATCAAATTCTTGATTCCCTTACTTGATAAAATCAATTTTTAAACAAACTTGTTAATTTTTTTAACTTAATATAAAATAATGAGCAATATGATAGTTATTTAAGTGTCTTTTATTAATATGATTAAATGTATTAAATATAAATAGAAATTAAATAATTTTATTGTATGAAAATTTTCAATTTAAATAAAAATAATTAAAAGCATCGCCATTATCATACAAGAACCAAAACAGTAAAATTAATAGAACTATTCTCTTTTACAATTAATATTAAAATTGACCAAAAATAAAAATAATGTACAAAATGAACCTTCTCTTGCTGTAATTATATATATATATATATATATATATATATGTATATATATGTATATTTTGTTAATTCTATTCTAAATTTTGAAAATAAAACTTACTATTTTATTTTTATCTTATATAAACACTTAGATTTTTTTATAATACTTATATAAAGTAATAAAAAAATTAAATAGTAATTTATCTCTAAATATTAAAATATAATTAATTAATAAATAAAAATTAAATTAATTATAACAAAAAATAAATTTCATATGTTATTTTCCGTTAATTGTAATCATAACAAACAAACTTTACACATTATTTAAAAATATATTTCTTTTAAAATAAATTCTGACTAGTTTAAATTTAAATTTTCTTTTCTATTTTGAGAGTTGAGACTGGAGGTAAAAGAAAAAAAGTTTTATTAGGTCACCCTCTTTTTTATTATATAAAAAAGAAAAAAAGTTTAACAACCTATCTTATTTTGTTTTATAAGAAAAAGAAAGAAAAGATAAGCACTAGAATGATCTAATTATTTATTTATTTTTTTAAAAGTATAGAAGTTTCTTGGATGAGGAAGGGCCGTAGAAGCTATCTTGAATTGTTTACCCCAAACGCAGTAAGAGTTCGTCCCACTCACATCATAAACATGCAAATAAATGCGGTTTACATTAAACAAAAACAAAACAATCCCTCATTCACACGGAACTTTCTCGACATAAGACGTAACGCAGTACCTTCTCGCTCCTTCCCCACCCTCTCTCTCTTATTAATCTTTATATTCCCAACAGAACCTTCTAGAACCACCATAATCACATTCTCTCTCCCTTTCTCTTTCTTCTCTTCTTCCTTCATGGCTCCGCCACCGCCGGTGGAACACAACACCGACTCCACCACAGCTGCAGACTCTCAGAGATCCATTCCCACACCGTTTCTCACCAAAACATACCAACTCGTAGACGACCAATCCATCGACGACGTTATTTCATGGAACGAGGACGGATCCACCTTCATCGTGTGGAACCCTACCGTCTTTGCCAAAGACCTGCTTCCTAAATATTTCAAACACAACAACTTCTCCAGCTTCGTTCGTCAACTCAACACTTACGTAATTCAACTCTCTCAATCACCGCTTTTCTTCTTTTTTTTGCGATTTATTTTATTTTATTTTTATAATTTTGTTCATCTGATTTTTATGTTTTTGAATTTTTTCAAAAAAAAATTGTTTTCGTTCTTTCCTGATTTGCAGGGATTTAGAAAAGTTGTGCCCGATCGGTGGGAATTCTCGAACGAATGTTTCCGCAGAGGGGAGAAACGGCTTCTGTGCGAAATTCAGCGGAGGAAGATCTCGTTGTCTCCCTCGCCATCTCCGTCGCCGACGGCGGCAGCTATGGCGTCTGCAATGGTTGCGGTTCCTACGCCGATGCCGTTGACTACGATACCGTCGGCGATGCCGATCATATCGCCGTCGAACTCCGGTGAGGAACAGGTTATATCGTCGAACTCGTCGCCGTCGCGAGCGCCGGCTGAGCTTCTCGACGAGAACGAGAGGTTGAGGAAGGAGAACCTTCAGCTAACCAAAGAGCTTGCTGAAATGAGATCGTTATGCAACAATATATATACACTCATGTCGAATTATGCGAACGCCAACAACCAAACGGACGGAGGCAGCGGCGGGGCGCAAGGGAGCAGAGAGTCCGGCATGACGGCGGTAAAACCTCTTGAATTGATGCCGGTGAAACGGAGCTCCGGCGAGGGGGCGGCAGAGATGGCGCCGGAGGAGATGAATCCGAAGCTGTTTGGGGTGGCCATTGGAGCAAAGCGAGCGAGAGAGGGAGGAGGAAGTGGTAGTTGTGGTGGTGGTGGGGGTGCAGGAGGAGAGGAGGATACGCTGTTGCGACTGCATCATTCGGGTTCTGTGGATGTGAAATCAGAGCCGTTAGATTGCCAGAACCATCACGACAATCATCAAACGCCGTGGTTGAATCAGTGCAACAGAACCAATCAGAGGGTGTGCAACTGACTCGTGGTGATGATTGGATTATGGAACATTTTAGATTAGATACGTATGGCATAGGGAATCCGAGACCGAGCACGCGGGGACGCACGTGATAATCTGTCACGTGTGTCGTTTAACCGTATGGGACCGATTCCCAGAAGCTTCTCAGAAGTCAGAAGAAAACTATACTCTCTCTCTCGTCCTTTTGTCTTCGCTTTTCTTTTTGAATATTTTTTTGGCATTAAATTGGACTTGTGGACTGTAGATTTGCCTTTGCTAGCAGTAGTGATCATAATTTCATTTAGTCCTATTTTACTCCCCCGCCAAAAAAATCATGTGAATTATATAGATAACAGTATAACTTCGTGCATAGTGATTTATGTTTCCATTTTTTTTTTTCTATAGTCCAAAATTTCAAGCTTATTTTATGAATATGACAATCTCATTGAATAATATATTATGTAATTATTTGTCTTAAATGATTAAACTAATAATTATTATAAATAAAATATTTCAATTGCTAATTAAAGATTTAATCTTTCGTTATTATAATGGTCAGATGGGGGGTTTACATTTAAATTTTTGGGCATGCAGTGTGAATGATATATTTTCTTTTGAGAAAAGTGTTCATGATGATAATTATGAATTCTACTGAAGCCCATCTTAAGTAGAAAAATTAGAAAACATGCCCGTGCATTGCACATTTTGTTTTCTTTTTATTAAATTAATTTATTTTAAAATATAAAAATATAATTTAAATATTAAAAATATATAAATATAATAAAAAAATCTATTTATTAAAATAAATTATTATTTAAAATATATATAATTTATCATTTTTTAGGATAAAATAAAAATAGCATACAAATATCTTATTTTTAAAATGTAAAAATAAAACTTTTATTATTTTATAATATTATAAATCATTCATTAATATAAAATTTTAAATAAATAATTATAATAATAAATTATTTAATATAATGAATATTTTCATATAAATTACAAAATTTAAATAAAAAGTTTTATAATTTTTTATTTATATATTTGTTTATATTTATTGAATTAAATTTATATGATAAACTATATTTTTATAATTATAATTTAAAATTATTAATAAAATTTTGTTATATAATTATTAAAACATATCATATTTTTAAAAATAATTAATCAAATTAATATATATAAAAATAAAATATTTATTCAACTAATATATAAAATTTTTAAAATCTGCTTTGAATATCAATATATATAAAATTATATATATTTAAAAATAAAAATATATTAAATTTTTATATATAAATAAAATTATCATACAAAATTATGGTAAATAAAAATTTATAATATATATATATATATATATTTACTTTTTGATAAAAAAAATATATATAAAATTTAATTTTTTAAAATAATTAAACTATTTTATATTTTTTGATAATTTAATAAAATTAATATTGATTGACACTATAAATAAATTAATTTTATTTAATAACTAATTAAGTATAATAATATTATGTTATTTGGATCATAAAATTAAAATAATAAATTTATTAATTTTTTATATATAATTATTTTTTAATTTTTAAAAATAATTAATATAATTTATGTATTATTTATTATTTAATTAATAATTAATAAAAATAAATATATCTATAAACTAATTTAATAATGAAATAATATTTTTTATCAAAAAAATAAAAATTAATTTAAATAAAATTTTAAAAATAAATTTAAAATATTATATAAAAAAATATGTAAATTAAATTAAAAAATATATATATTATAATTAGGTCTTTAATTATTTTAAAGATATATAATATAATTTTAATATAAATACATTAAAACATTATATTGATATTAAAAAAATATGTGTTCTAACTATTTTAATACAGATATAGTGAATTAGAAATTTAATTTTTATTTTTAAATATATATTTTTGTTTGTCTCTCTTATACATTGCTTGGTTCTATAAAAAGATGTTAATATTTAGTGAATCTGATTTAGTATTTTTTTAAATTAAAAAATATAAAATTTTAAAAATATAACATGATAAATAATTATATTAATAAAAAAATTACATTCATTTTAAATTTTTATGTAGAATATTTGTATTTTAATTTATATCTTGAAAATTAATTGTAAGTTCATAGAATGACTAAATTTTTTTATTAGGAAGCACTCTTTTTTACGTTTGTAATTAAATGTTATCATAAAAAATTTTAAAAGTATTAGAATTTATATTCTAATTTAAAAATTTTGAATAATCATATAGTTAGAATATGAAATTTTAATTTAAAAATTTGATATGTTAATATAAAAAAAATTATAACATTTTAAATACTAACTTCTATCGTTGTAAAGATTTAGACTTCATATAGATAAAATTTTAAAACAAATAATATATATAAAAATTAAATATAACATTTGAACTTAATTCAGAGTTAAAATGTTATATATTTTTTACTTATTCATTTATTATGATATACAATGATTAAATATAAAAATAGAACAGTTAAATCATATTCATTTTCATTGTTATGATATTTAATAGTTTTTAATTTATTTCAATTATTATAATTAATTAATTTTAATTGAAGAATTTTAAATTGATCATCATCATTATAGCATTTTATAAAAAAAATATTGCAACAAAATCATTAAGTATAAATATTGTTAATTTTTTAATTTAAAAAAATTAAATTTGTTATCATAATTATTATAATATAAAATAAAAATAAAATATTGTTTATGTTAATAGGTTATACATAATTATGATATATCAATTCCTATTAAATTATTTTCAAAAAAATTAAGATAATAGAAGAAGAGAAAAAAAAAGTAGTTAAAAATTTTCAATTAAGATTTAGATAGAAACTAAAAAAGAATAATTGTTGTATTTAATTTAAAAATTAATCTTTATATCAATTAAATTTAGAGATATTGATATAATATAAAATTTATGAATTATATATAAAATTTGTCTAGAACAAAATCAATACATAATATATATAATAATAAAGTAAGATATATATATATATATATATATATATATATAAAATAAAATAACAAAGTTATTTTATAAAGGACTTAAATGTTTGGTGACATTTTACTTTTCAGATTTTACATAATATTAAAAGTATTTATACAATATTGTAATAAAAATAGTTTAATCTTCTAAATCCTCCATTGTTGCCTTTTATTTATTGTTTTTTACTTCATCTTCCTCAAGTTACAACCTAAAATAAAAGATTAAATATAAATTACTAATGTAAGAAATTTGAACAATACATTATAAATTTATAATTTATACATTAATTTTCTCTTTCTTTTTGGTAAATTTAGTATTTTCATGGTTAGAAATATAGGTAAACAACTTATTGCCAAGTCATTTTTTTTTGTTTTTGTATTTGTATTGTCCAAACATTCTTCTTTTCCAAACTATAAATATCAAATAATAAAAATAAAGTTATTCATCATTGTATTATAAACATTATAAATAAAAATAATGAAACTCCAATTTAATTTTCTATAAGTTTCACAAATTTATTTGCTGTAAAACTTTGTCTTCCATAACTTTCAAAGTAAGTACTCATTTTTATTTGAATAATATATGAAGTGCCAATAATATTTAAAAATTATAGAAGCAACTTTAATACTTCACCATCACCCTTAAAAAATTTATCACGTAACAATAGTTATATGTTTTAATATATTTTATTTATATAATCAATTATTTGATTAGATTTTTTAGGAAGTTAGAAATTAATACATTTGCTTACAAATTTAGATATTACAATAAGATTTTTTAACTTTACTTGTATCAATTGTTTAACAATTTCATCAAATAAGACAAATATAGTTAAATTTGTAGAATTTTTAACATCAAGCTTAAGATGAAACTTGTAATGTATATAAATTAAGGTAATAATATATAATTCAATTTATTTTAATATAAAAATTTAAAAATTAGAATACATAGTGATAAATTAATTACAATATTATTGATACTCAACGACTTTATAACATGATTCACATTAAAAATTTGTAGTTATGAAAGAAAATTTCTTCTTGCGGCATTCTGAAAATTAATTAAAAATTATTTTAAAAATTAAATAAGAAGAACAAAGTATAAGAGAGATTAAATTTACCATATCACTCTTTGATTTTGCCATTGTCAAGATTTCATATATGTTTTTAAAATTTTCTAACTTAGGAAGAATAGTAGATCTTATATTATCAACATTGTGAGCAATATGCATATCATTAAAATCCCTTTAACAAAGTGATAATAAATAATTGAAAATGTGGTTAAAATAAAAAATAAAGAATTAGCAATAATGAAGTAACAAAGAGATTTTAAATAATTTTAATACCTAAATGAATCTATAAAATAAGTAACTTCTGGTATGTCAGTATTGACATAATTTTTTGTTGATCTTGATGTAGAAATATAAATATTACCTATAATATATATACTCATTTCTTTTATAATTAAATATCACAGTCCTGATATTCGTACTTTTATTTTCCATTCATCTGTTGTTTAATTCAGATCGTTAAGAAAAGTTCATTTATCTTCATTGGAACTTGTTCTCCTACAACATCATAGAAAATATAAAAGTAAATAATTACTTGTGATAAATATAAGAAAATAATAAGAGATTTGATACAAATTAATCAATTAAAAATAAGATTCAATACATAATATTATTTAAAAATAATACAACTTTATGCTTACTCAAAAAAATAAATTGAAATATATAACACAATTTAGTGAAACAAAATAAAAAATTATCAAATTTGAAAACACATGTAATTACGTGGATAAGTAATTCTTGACTACTGACATGGTTACAAAATATAAAGAAAAAAGATGATAATAGAAAGAACAATAAGTTTTCAAAAGTTGTATAAATATGACTTATATAAGTAGAGAAGAAGTCTTTCCTAAAAATATATGAAAAGTCAGAAAATAAAAAATTAATATAATAAAAATTATCTTTTATTTAAAATTTATTTTAATAATATAATATAAAAAATAAAATAATAATTCACATTCAACATATATTTTAATTTTTGAAATATATATTGAACTATATATTATTAAACTAATTAATAAAATTATTTAAATATATAAATTTTCCTTTTCATTAAAAATATATTTTAACAATATATAGTATAAACTAACAATTTTACAAATATTTTAATTTTTGAGACATTGAACTATATATTATATTAAACTAATTACTAAAATAATTTAAATATGTAAACTTACCTTTTCATTAAAAATTTAATTTAATAATATATAATATAAATTAATAATTTTATTAATATATTTTTTAATTCAATTTATATTTTAGTATTTGAAGGAAATATTGAAATATAAATTAAATTAAACTAATTAATAAAATAATTTAAATATATAAAAAAAATTATGAAAATTTTAATTTAATAATATATGAT